TTCCCTAGCTGTCATTTCATAGTGTGATTACTCCAGCCATCCGTTTCGTCACTACAGGACACAGAGTCCAATGACATGTTTTCCCCTCACAATAAGGTCTCCTGCTCCGGACCACCCTCTGAAAAGTGTCCCGAGGTAAACAGCTTCTCAGAGGGAGGTGGCCCACATCCTGTTTTCAAGTATAAACTTACTTTTGAAAAATGATCCTCGACTAGGACTAGTTGCCAGGTACTTCATTTCTAGGTTTCTTTCAACAGGTTTTCAAAAAAAGTTACCCCAGAATTGCATCCGGCATCTTATGAAGATGTAACTATAATTCAGCTGCTATTAAGCAGTTAATAGAAAGTTCGAGGCCGACTATACTAGCTCCCCTTGCACTTGGCCAGCAACGCAGCTGTATGTTGTATTTAGAGCTGGCTAAGTAGTCTAATAATAAATTATGCCAACGACAGGGTGGTCTTGCCATGTGTGATATGCTGAAGCAAGGGAAACGCTCTTTTCCCTCGCTTATGAAGGACATCGATAAATGGTTATACTCTGCATTTTAACACATCCTATATGGATCTGTTGTAGATTTTTGATTTTGTGTTTAACTCCTCTATAAAAGTTCCATAGCTCTAAGCTCACATTAAAGGAACCTAAGCAAAAAACAGTTCTTTAGGGTGAGAACAATTATCCAGAATCATACATTCTTAGATTCTGGCCTCCGTGCAAATATTTGATGTATCATTCAAAACACTTCAGGATCTATTTATATAATGGTCTGCATCTTACGAGTCACACACGGTTCACCGTTTAAGCTTAATCATAAGCTATATGATTCAGGAATGGAGGAAAAACCTGAACTAACCGGACCCATGTCAGGTCTATGGGAAGTTAGATGTAAACAGACATGTGTTCTTCGATCCATCACAATCAGGTCCGCCAAATAGGAACTCTGGTTTTCTGGACCTGGACGGAGCCGGGGATAAGCAGATGGAATGAAGGAAAAACGTGAACTAACCGGACCTATTTTAGGTCTATGGGGAGTTGGATGGAAACGGAAATGTGTCCTCGGATCCATCACAATCAGGCCGGCCAAAATGGAACTCTGGTTTTCTGGACCTGGACGGAGTCGGGGGTAAGCGGATGTAATGGAGGAAAAACATGAACTAACTGGACCCATGTAAGGTCTATGGGGAGTTGGATGTAAATGGAATGTGTCCTCGGATCCATCACAATCAGGTCCGCCAAAATGGAACTCTGGTTTTCTGGACCTGGACGGAGTCGGGGGTAAGCGGATGTAATGGAGGAAAAACATGAACTAACTGGACCCATGTAAGGTCTATGGGGAGTTGGATGTAAATGGAATGTGTCCTCGGATCCATCACAATCAGGTCCGCCAAAATGGAACTCTGGTTTTCCAGAGCCGGGGGTAAGCGGATGTAATGGAGGAAAAACATGAACTAACTGGACCCATGTAAGGTCTATGGGGAGTTGGATGTAAACGGAAATGTGTCCTCGGATCCATCACAATCAGGTCCGCCAAAACGGAACTCTGGTTTTCCAGAGCCGGGGGTAAGCAGATGTAAATAGACATAAGTCCGTTTAGAGCCGGTTGCCAATAGACCAACATTGGGCTTCTGATCTGCTCTGCCTGGAAAACTGCCTGATGGGCCAAAATCGGACGACCGGTCTGAAAGGGTTCTAAAATCGTATGCAGATGTGTTCAGTAAAAACAGTGACATAATGAAAAAGAAAAAAAAGAGACCAACAAAGTAGACATCTAAAAATCATCTGCAAACAGCACCTACCACAAAAGGATAGAGACCAACAAAGTGGGTATCTATCTTAAAAATCTGTTACAGACGTGGCAACCATGGATCCAATACCTCCAGTCACAGTCATTTGACAGTAGTCTGCTACCACTTTAAAAACTACGCTTCAACAATGAAAATCCTCCATGCATGCCCAGGACTGAACCGACCCCGGTAAGCCTTCTCTCCTCCCCTCTCCCTTCCCACCCCAATCCTCCCTTTTCTCTCTCCTTTCTTTCTCTTTATCTGTCTCTCTCCAACTGCCCTTCTTGGGCGTGCTATTTCACGGTTGATGTTTGCAGGGGTTTAGTACGCTCTCTCACAGCACAATTGGCGGTCCTGTTATGCAGATCTTACGTGGGAACAATTCCCCCTATTTAATCCTGTATGTTTACCGGGACCCTCAGTATTCGGGTGGACCCTATCACTACCTCGATCGTCTCGACGGGCGAACCTATTACACCAGCGATAATTGTCATTTTGTTTAACTCTAGAGCTGTGCCTCCCCAATATATTCTGTACTCCCCTGCATCACGTGCTGTACGCTGTAATCACTTGTACCCACTGTCATAGCAAAAATGTCATGTTCTGTTAAAATCAATAAAAAATATTTGATTTAAAAAAAAAAAAAATCTGTTACAAATAGTACTAACCACGTAATAGGAGCTATATTACTCTGTGAACAGCTGGGGCACAATATTAAATGTGAACCAGCACTAATCCCTAAATCATCCTGCTTGAAGTATTCCAGTGAAAGCAACACTGAGATAACAGGCTGCGAGATGTGTTTTCTTGCAGGTTTCCCCTGCGCCTTTACTGGAAACATGTTTAGACGGTTAAAATAATAAGCAGAGAATAGGACCATTTTGTCTGGGTAATAATGACTATGCAGCTCATGTTTGTAGAGTGATGAATCAAAACCTCGCTTGCAGACTTTTCCATGCGCACCTGACCACAGAATGCGCTTTTTGTAATGAAATATCAGAGGCTACGAAGATTGTTTGTTCTGCTCAAAAGTTACCTTTTATTTTAAGTTGAAAAATAAGCAGCTCAGCATTCTTAAAAATAAAAAAGCAGCTCTGGCTGCAATACTCACCTGCTCTCTGGCACTGCCCTCAATGCACCTAGTCGCTTTTCTCTTCCAGGCTGAATGACGTCTAGCACTATGCAACCCACCATCTGTGAGTCCTGACCATCATGAAAAAACCTCCGGGATGGCGTCCTCAATCCCACCAGAGCTCACAATACTCTCTAGACAGTGCGGAGCTCAAACGTCAATATGTGATCATCACTCCTTTCAGGACGAAGCATGGGTGGTTGCTTTCAGTAACAAAGTCTGTCCTTACACTGCACTTAGTCATCAAAACTGGAGCAGACAAAATCTAGAGTAGCCGTGCATGGCAACCAATCAGCTTCTCTCTATTATTTTAAAATCTCAATTCAATAAACTGAAGAGAGAAGACGATTGGTTGTCATGCACAGCTGCTCCAGATTTTGATGTATCCCCCTCATTATGTTTCCAAATATTTGGCTCCAACTCTTTTCAGCTGTGCTTCCCTGAACTTCCTGTCCACTACAAGTAACAGAGCAGTCTCCTGCAGCTATACATCTATTAACTTAGAAAAGGGATGTTGAGCATCACAAAACAGGAGAGAAAATCAAGGCCCAAATATCCATATTTATTTACAAACTCTCAGCTGAGGATCACAAAAGAAAAGAAAGTCTTCAGTACCAAGGAACAACCTACACCTAGAATGTCTCCTTTGTCTCTCCACAGCCCTTGACACTCTCAAGGATCAAAATCCATTGCAAATAATTTAATCAGCATTTGAAATAGCTCAAAAACGTTTTTTTAATTTTAATATCACTTTAAAGTGGAGCAGCAGCCAGACTTTTTTGTTTTTGTTAGGAGTGGAGAAAGGTTTTTGCTTTTATTTTATTTTTTAGAGTATTGCATCAAATCCTGTGCGAGACCCAACAGGAAGTCAACAGGACAGAACAGGAAGAAATTCAGGGCCCCACAGCTGCCCCCAGGGAAGTCTACATCACTAGTGCTTCCAGCGAGTTTTCGAGTATGAAATGCAAGGAAAATCCCTTTGTAAAATCCCACACGTTCTCAGGATAAAGGCTTTTCATTTTTTGCACGATGCAACAACAAACTGATCTTCTACAGCACATGCGCAAGATCTGGTGTTGGTGTTGTTGGTGGGCTGGCACAAAGGATAAAAAATAGTCAGCTACCAATTACATTTTTTGATAATGGAGGTGGTTTTGGAGCAGGGGCAGGATGGATCAGGGACCAGTAGGGAAGCTAGACATTCTGTCACTGTATAGGCAGAGTGAGGCAAAGGCTCAGAGTTGCTCCCTCGTCCGTCCAAGGGGGACGTTCTCCATCCAAACACCCAGTGGCACCCCTCCTAAAGCGGCACCTGGGGCACATCCCCCCACGCTTTGGCACTGCTGGAGACAACCAAAGTAAAAGAGGCATGTAAATGTTGGCAACTTTATTTGTTACCATATGTACCTTTTCTTTACTGCTGGCGAATTAGGCCAATTATGAAGGGGGAAGGAACAGACATATCTGCTTTAAATCTCTTCTACAAGTATGTTTTGATCATGATTCAGGTTTTTGCGCTATTACTATTTCCAAATGATCCAACCCCATCTCAGTTCAAAAAGTGTTTATGTTAAAAGTGGGTTGGTAGCCTGAACCCAGCATGTCATGAATCATAGCTGTTCTGATAACTGCCCCTCCCTGCTTTCACAGAGGGAGCAGATAACCGGAACTCATACATCTCTAGTGTGTAACTCACCTAATATTCCATTAAAATTTCTTTTTTATTACAAAAAGATAGCTCAGGGATGTTTACATTGTTTGTAACCACTTTATAAGCTGGAATTCCCACTTGAGAACTAGAGACATGGATCAAGAAACTGCCAGTAAAAGCAGACATATAAACCGCATCTTGATTCCTAACATCTACTTGTACTGGCAGGCATCCCAAAGAGAGTTTAAAAACAGAGCTGTACGTGCAAGGTGCTTATCTCTGTCCATGCAAGTATCAGGAGTCAAACCATTGCAGGTGCCGCGTTCTTGAAACAGTCAAGCATCCGGACAATAAAAACCATTATTCCCGACAACACTCAGCTGGCAGTGATAAAGCTGGTTAACACAAAGCAGACTGTTGGAAGTGTATACCATACCTGAAGAAGGTCGCTGAGATCAAGTAACATATCTGGGAGGAAGTCAAGGAAAAGACATTTTACATACAATAGGTTCTTGTAGTCTGCTAGACATGTGGGGAAACAAACTGTGAACAATCGTATTATTTGTCCAATGCAAATGTCCCTAAAGACAGAAAAACAAAATTCAGAAACTTCATTAGAATCATGGTCTAAAGCACTGGTTCTCAACCTGTGTAACCACAGGACCCACATTTGTCCTTGGTCATTAAGTCGTGACACAAGTCACACTGCAATGGAATGCACGGCATTGCGGTACTGCTGGCAATCGAACTGTGCGTGGGAGGTGCGTTTGGGGTACCATTCAAATAAATAGCAATGCAACATACCTCCAACACCAGAACGCGTAGTGGAGGTGATTATGCGACTGTGCGTTTAGTGTGAATAGGCCCTCAAAAACACTGACATACAATTTTGTTTTTAAGATCCTCCCAGTCTCCTTACCTTACGAGAACTGGAGTGGATCCTCAGCCAATGTGGGCTAATGTGCTGTGACGGAGCTTCATCCATATGTTCATTGCTTGTACAGCTCCCTTGCGCACCCTGTAGAGGTGCCAGGAGCCAGAATGTGACGTTACTCCGGTCCAGGTATCTCCACACATGAGGGAGCTATAAGTAATGCACGTATGGATGGAGCTCCCTTGCGGCCCTAGCCCCATCCTATCCCACCTCAAGCTGACACTCAGCTCTGGGCAGCATATTCAAATGGCTGCATGGCATGAGAACTGACAGTGCTGCTCTGGGGGGAGGCTGAAGTGACCCACTGAACACGAGATCGCGACCCACTTTTGGGTCACGACCCACCAGTTGAGAACCAAGGGTCTAAAGAACAGTAAACCTTAAATGTAAAGGACATCAAAATAAAGGCATACAGTAAGCTAATAAGAAAGAAGGGTATTTCTTCAACCAGTCTTCAAGGACAACTAACACCTCGACACCTCCGCATTTGTTACTGCAATACGCAATAATCCACCACGCACTTGTTAGTAAATGGCAGTAGAATCACGGTTCGTTAAACCAAGCTTGATGTTCACAGGAAGGCAAGCTTTGCGTGCAAGTTCAGTTGCCATCAGAAGCACCCCCTGGGGTGCAATTCAGACTGGTTAAGAACGTGGCATATACTTGTTATCTACATATGGTTTACAAAGGCAGTTTTCAGTGACAGCAACCTCCATTCATTTGTATATAATCATATGCTCAGTCTAACAGCATACTATACTAGCATACATACCTTTAGAAATATGAATTTCAATATGTTTTCTGAAGGTTATATCATTTTAATAAAATAAAATAATAATGAACCTAGATCAAACATATATACATCATCCAGCAAAGTATTTCTTTACATTTTTGCTCAAGCACTGACCGTCATGTTTCCAAACAGCTCAAACTCTCTCAGCTGAACTTCCCTGTACTTCTTGTCCAGTACAAGATCACAAGGAAGAGCAGAGTCTCCAGGAGTCATTCATCTACTAGCTTGGAGAAGGGAGTAGGGGAGAACAGGGAGGAGTTGAGTGTCTCGCCTTGCTGTGTCTGTGTTTTTGTGGAGACAAACACAGCTTACTAGCACAGACAATGGCGGCTCCAGAGGACCCTGCAAGGGAAAGGAGGAGCCACCCTTACATAGGATACCAGGGCCAGTGCTCAGGGGACCAACTGATTCTGCAGGAAGCTAAAACTTTTAAACATTTAAAACAGAATCCATTGTTAAGTTATTTAAGCAGCATTTTAAATAGCTTAAAAACCATTTAACTTTAGTATCACTTTAAAGTATATCCAAAGTCAAGTATTTTGTCTTGGTTCTGGATAGAGTGTGGAGGGTTCAGATCCTGTCGGGTTTTTATTGCTGTCCTCTGGGGAGATTCACCCTTTCTTATTTGCCTTGTGACCATTGTTACCAAGACTGAAAGTGACAGGTCTATCCAACAGGTCTATTCCCAAAAGGGTGCGAAGTTTAGAGAAAGCAGGAGAAGTGAACAATCTAGGAGAAAATAGCTGAACTTGAAAGTGAGCTGAATTGGAGAATTTTTCCAAATCAGCTTATTTGGCCTAGATTGTTCACTTCTCCTGCCTCCTCCAAACTCTTCACCCTTTAGTGAATAGACCTGTAAAATTTCACAGTTGTCACTGGAGCAAAAATCTAAGGTAAATCTTCCGGAGGGGACAACTGTATTGGTAATAAGTCTCTAAGAGAGGTCTTACCACTTACATTGGAGAGATTTCCTCTCATACAGAGCAGGACAAAATGCAAAGAGAATTCTCCCCAACTCTTTAGGGAATATACAAATCAGATTGTAGATGACAGCAAGGCCTATGGTGTCAATTTTAGGACATTCTTCCTATATAATTTGGCCAATGTCACTTTAACCTTCCTTAATAACCTCCTGGCAAAGCCATCTGCTCTTTGCTGCAGAACCTTTAAATCAGGGATGTCCAAACTCCAGCCCTCCAGCTGTGGTGAAACTACAAATCCCATGAAGCATTTCTCTCCGGGATTCATGTCTGTGGCTGTGAGAATCTTGCAAAGCCGCATGGGATTTGTAGTTCCACCACAGCTGGAGGGCCGCAGTTTGGACATCCCTGCTTTAGATCCTCAATGAGCCTCTCTATATATCTCCAGTTCCAGACATCACTTATTTACTGCACTAGCAGAAGCAGAGTGAAAGGAGAGATTTGGACAACAGGGGCTGAACTCTCAGATATCAAATGTTTCTAAGGCAGAAGGTATCACTAGAAATAGCCAATATTTGGCAAATAAACCATTGGATAGAATATTTAAAATCAGTATCAAACTAAGGATAAGGAATTTCAAATGAGACCATACAATTTTTGGGTCCAATAAAATGTTTGCTCGCTACCTAATGTAAGTAAAAGCGTGGGACAAATCCTGGGCTGGAAATGACCGGGTTAAATCAAAGAATGATCAAGTGAGCTATTGCAAATGAAAAAAAATCTACAAGATGAAATTGCTGTTCTGGACCGTGTGCTTTGCAGTAAATCAAGATTCATAAAGAGACACACCGCCTGGCAATGGTCTTTCCTTCATGCATATTGTTAGGTTATTTACTTTACAACAAAAACACACATTCAAATTTGCATTTTAGAAACAGCATTTGCATAGTTTTGGCTCAGAAAGTGGCACATTTATTAAAATAAGATTTTCCGGACAAGTCTCAGTGATTCTGTGGTTGGAAATAATACCAAGAGGAATTTGCAGCACAAGTATATTCTATAGCGAGCCCTTTGTTATTACTACCCCACAGGTTGTAGCCTTAAAGGACACCTAAACTGGGAAATTAGAAATCCAACAGCCTCTTATGCCTATCCATTTCTTTCCGGAATGCATATTTTAGTGTGGAACTGTGAGGCCTCTGCCCTAAGAAGGTACATACAGGGTTTTAGGAGTTAATATAATGTTAGAAATTAAGTAACGGCTGCTTACAGTCAAGAGTTGGGCGGAATCATTTTCATTCAATACATTTTTATTACATTAACATTTTTGAGGTTACAAATGTACAAAAAACAAGAAAACACAGATGACATTTCCATAAACATGGGCAAAATAGTAGAACACAAAACAGACATGATGGGCCAATGGGATGTGCTAGGACTA